CTCTCCCGTCCGCTGTCTGATCTTTGTTTGGGGAAAGTGGCCCTTAAGTGAGATCCCCTACATCCCTCATTCAATGGCTCTCGTGGTCACAAACTGCTTGCGCACTTCGGCCTGCGTGAGTGACCATGTCTCACACAATGCTGTCAATAGAATTAGCGAGGTTGGAGAGGGTTTCACTCCAGATGTTGCCGTGGAGGATGTCCTTGATGGAATGGAACGCGTGTACCTAAACTCTTTCTCCTTTAATTATCTCTTGCCTGATCATGCCATATCAGTCGATCTGTTGAGCCAGATAAATGCATTTATCGACTTGTTCAATTTTTTTACCGTTTAATGTTACCTGGTACTTCGGCAAGGCATTTGATCACAGTACCCTAGTCTTTAACCGATTGACAGTCAGACTTCATGATTGTTTCGCATTCTGTTGTGATAAACTACCTGATAATGACTTCAACACTGGAAACCGAAATATTGAAATAAAAATGATATCTTGTATTATCCCTAACCTATTTGCATTGAAGAAGTCAAATGATTTATAACCTTGGCGACCATGGAAAATCACTTCCAAAAACTATTCTGAATGCTCGATGAGTAAGCCATCCAAGTAATGAATAGTTTTTTCGTTCTTCATTTCCTGATGTCTTTTTTCATCATCCAGTTAATATGTCTTTCTTTTCTAAAAGTTGTCAAATTCCAGCCAGGGAGAAAAAATCCAATGTAAAACTTTCTTTCCAAGCCTTCTAGAAAGTTATTTCAGGTGAACAGCAACGGTCTTTTCGTCCATTTGACAATAAAATTGATGAGGATAACTTCCTGCACTCATCAATAGTTTGAAAGGGATACAGGAGTGCTATGAAACGTAGAAAAACTGTTACAGAGCACTTATGCGGTCTTGAATTATTTATTGACGTTACCATTCCTCATGGAGGAAACATAATATTTGCAATTGCCAATAACATGCAGGAACTAATAAGATAGCTAATTATTTATAGGTTGTAAATGTTCCTTGAATTGTTCCTTATCATGCTACAACGTGTAAATGAAGAGAACTAGCAATGATTCGTTTTTGATTAATAATCCGCAACTGAATAACATTTGATTTAAACCTGACGTTTGCCCTTAATTCTCATATAGCCAGCTAGCATCCACTCTTACGACCTGTGTGTGCTTCAGCAAACACAGAATAGTCCTGCAAGTTATGCAGAAGTGAGGGAATTAACACTTTAACCTCCTCTTCAAAAAATGCAACTTTGTTTAAAGGTGCATTATTACTACGTATACTAAAGAAGCGGGCGGTTTTTCTCTCATTCATTGGACATCGGGAAGTGAAGTGGATATGCAAGCACTTCAAAATTCGTCATTAGCATCATAATCTCAATTTGGTACATTTCCTTCAGAAAGTCTTCGATCAATTTAAAATTTAACGGACGACCATGGTTCACCATTTGTTGAAATCCTCGATGCCATGCCACGACTGAATTGTTCACGTTTGTTCCATGATGTTTACTTATTCTTCCGATGTGTATCTTCCCAATAATCAATAACCGCTGCCAAGCAGCGGGGGGG